TGAAATAAACAATCTATAAATCAGTATCTGATATATTCAGATTGTAGTGCTGCATTAATGTGCGTTGTCTGACTTACATCTTTTATATAATTTGAGGAGATGGGCTTGCCATTTCTATCAATGGCTCCTTCTGCGACGATTATGATGTTCAGTCTCGACCCCCCACTTGTGCGGCTCTAGAAGGAAACGGGTAAAACATGTTATTGTGTCATTAAGCACAAACCTGTGTCCAAGTTCTTTAAAGTCAGAACAACTACAGTCAAAGGAGGACTGTTATTACCATCCGGAGTAATTTATCTGGTGAAACGGCTCTGTTTGGGAACTTTTAAAAAATGAAAACCATAAATCAGGGAGAGCTTCCTGTACTACTCTATGTACACAAAAAAAGCTGGAGGTGGCAACAGGAGAGGCAAGACCCTCATTGGACAGAGCCGAATTGGTTTGCACAGTGCCTTGCAGATGCACAGATGCTTGTATGACATTAGCAAACTGTCCTGCTTTCATGGCATGCCTAAACTGACACTATGCCCAATTCGTCTACTTCGACACAGGCCAAACCTGTCATGTGGATACACACAGTGAATGCAAATCAGTAATGCATGGGGCTAACATACAGTCTGGACTTGTGTCTTACCCCCTCTAGACGGGCACACATATTGTCCTCCCAGCCCTCCTGAGGTGGAGCCTCTGGAATAAAAACCCAGTCTGCCCCTGATGCCAGAGCTGACACTAAAGCCAAATACCTAAAGTTGTAACAAAGAATAAAAGGACAGTTAATGCATAACAAGAGCTGCATGCAGCTGCAGTGCGTATGGGATAGCAAAATGGGTTAAAGTGCAACTCTCACCCGCAGTGCCGTCCCATCACTTCCAAAACAAATGCACGCTGGTGGCTGTAGGAAGTACAAAACAGTTACAGTGAGACTCTTTTCCACAAAGTATGTCAGCAAACACACAAAGAACATGCTGGTGTCTGAGAAGGCAAGTCTGGGCAAGATGGAAGTCATGCCAAAAGCCTTGAATGGTGCAAAAGACCACATTCCATTAAGAGTTAATCATTCACTGTGCAGGTATATTCAGATAACTCTGATAGGGCTGAGAGTAAGTAATGCTTAATCATCAGCATTACTCCATGTCTGTTCAAGTAACTGAATACAACTACTAAAAAACCCCAACACACGCGTTTAAAGCTGGAACCACAAAATGTTTGGCATTACTTAATCGCTGACTAATGTTTTCTTGATCTACGTGCAGTATGTTTACTACCATAAATCTGCTCCTTTGAAGTAGCACTGCAGCACATGTGGTGTGCTCGACACATCTTCCTTCCTGTAACTCATTTACTAATTACTCACTTATCCAGTGACCTTGTGCATGCTGCTTTTATGAAACACCAGGCGCTTCAGTGCTGTTCCGAATTACCCAGCGGCTCACCTCTGTGCAGTGGTCATTATGGCATCAATTATCTCCATGATGCGGTGCAGCGCAGAGTCGGCACCGATGGTCATGTCAGTGCCGCAGAAGTCGTTGTCTATGGAGCCGACGAGGCCCACGATGTTCAAGTTATAATGCTGCTTAGC